TTCTACTCAAACAAAACGGGATGGGACCACAGGGTCACTGCAAAATTTCCAAGATGACACCCATTATTTCCAATCAGTTGTGATCATTAACACAACTGTGTTACATTAAAGTTATACAGAAAAAAGCTACTAGCCACACATGTAGCTAAATATGGCAGTATAATAGGTTTTACCTTTAGATTTAGAAACTACAAATTTGAATACCAAAACTACATACAGGTAGTCCTCGACTTACGACAGCAATTGGACAGGAATTTCTGTTGCTAAGTGATGCGGCAATCCCTGCAGCCTTGGTTGCCATCGTTAATCAAATCCCATAGTTGTTAAATAAGGCAACTTCCTGCCGGCTTCCCACAACCAAGTCAGTGGGGAAGCCAGCAGGAAGTTGCAAGTCCCAGGTGCTTTGCAAGCAGGCCAGCAGGCAGATAAGTGGCTGCTGCAAGGGGGTGTGCAAGGGAGTGTGTGAGGGAGGTGTGAGGCTTGGGGAGGGTGTGTGGGGGTGTGAGGGAGGCATGGTGAGGGTGTGTAGCAAGGATTGGGGAGGATGCACGGGGATGTGCAAGAGGCATTGGGAAGCTGTGCGAGGGTCACAAGGGTGTGTGCATGAGGGGAGGGTGTGCAGGGATGCACAAGTGGCTGGCACAGTGTGAGCGCAGAGGGTCTGCGGGAGGGTGAACTGGGGGGGGGAGGCTTACCTTAGCAACTTGTGACCTTCCCTGCTGGCTTCCCCACTGACTTTCTGGGGAAGCCGGCAGGGAAGGTCGCAAATGATGATCACATGATCATGGAGTGCTGCAACCAATCATAATTGTGAGCTGATTGCCAAGCGCCCAGATCATGATCACATGACCACGGGGGTGCTGGGATGACTGGAACTCTGAGGACCGGTTGTAACCAGCATTTGTTCAGCACTGTCATAACTTCAAATGGTTGCCGAATGAATGGTCATAAGTTGAGCACTATCTGTATTCCATTCTAAATGTTATGTGCTATGCTTTTTCCACTTGATTTTTCAACTCATTTTGAAGCCTAAGATTTGTGAGGGGTATTTATCTATTGTGAGACAGAGATTGCTATTCAGTGTGGGAAAGATTCTCATATATATTTTCTCAAATAGTACATTCCCTCAAGAAATAATTATTCTCTACCCAGCCATCATGGTTAAGAATTAGTATTTTTACATCTATTTAGAATAATTAAACATTACCTTCTTTAGCCAGATACAGTTCTTTAAACTTGGCTCTCTTTTGATTAAATTCTTGCTCAAGATTCTGTTTTGTACGTAGAAATTCAGCATTGGCTTTCTCTAGTTCTGCTACTCGTTGAAGAAGAGCTAAAAGTGAATCAAAGGAAGAGTAATGATCATGACAATCAAAAGCATTGTATACTGCATTATCATACACTTTCTTTGGAGAAAATTATTACAAACTATATTGTTGGGATGACAGCTGTTTAGCCCTTCAGACAAGAGAAGAGATAATGTGTAATTTGTAATATTCAGTTAAAGGTTGTTCTTTTGGTTGTACCATAAATCTCTGTCCTCCTGTTTTTGTCCCAATCTGCCATTAGGCCATAAAGGGATCAGCAGAGATTCTTAACTAGTCATAGTACCTTAGTATTATGGTAACCTGGAGACCTTTCACTTGGAAACACCCAGGGGATCAAATATGCAACTTTTATTCTATTATTATTATTATTATTATTATTGATACTTTTATGTCACTTCAATTAGGCAGATCTCAGCACCTAACAAGTATTTGGATCTCAGTATCTTACAAAATAATATATAACAAAATTAACAATACAATATTCTTAAAAACAATTTCAGTTCATAAAGACATAATAAATAACAGCACCATACACTTTCAGGGATCTAATTCATACATCCCTAATTTCCAAATGCCTGCTTAAATGACCAGCGTTTTAACAGCTTTCTACATGTTAAAAACAAGATTGCAGCTCTTATTTCTAAGAGTAGCCAAGGAAGAGAGCTCCTTGAAATTCACAATGCATGGCAACATGTACAGTACTCTCTTCCATCATACATATTTCTGCAGCTATACTGAGAGATATGGCTCAGCACAAACACCTGGTTTGTATGCAGAAGGTTCACTACCAGCATCTCTGTTTATAAGGATCACGCAACAAATGATAGGTAAACTCTCTGCTTCAGACACTGGGGAGTTGTTGCTAGAATATACAATACTGAATCATCAGAACAAATGGCTGTAATCTGCACATAAATTTAAACATGAATATAGCTATATGTACTTGCTGTAATGGAAACAGCACATTTTTAGTCACTGTAACTACAGTGCACCCACAACAAATTTTGGCATGTTTCACTCTTCCCCCAGGTAAGTGTGCAGGTCCCAGAACATCTCACTGTCCTCATGAGAAACTTACATACAGGTCAGGAAGCCACAGTACAGACAGAAGATGGCAAAACAGACTGGCTCCAGGTTGGCACAATAGTGTGACAAGGCTGTATACTCTCTCCTTATTTATTCAACCTATACACTGAACATATATATTAAGGGAAGATGGATTGGAAAAAGATGAGCATGATTTTAAAACTGGAGGAAGAAATATTAATAACTTGCATTATGCTCATGACACCACCCTGACAGCCAAAAATGCAAAGGATCTGCAAGCTCTAGTAATAAAAATCAAAAACCCCAGTGAAAAAATGGGACTAAAATTAAATATAAAGAAGACCAAACTAATGACAACAGATAAAACAACCAGCCTTAGAATTGACAATGAAATTATCAAAGTGTTGGATAGCTTCTGCCATTTAGGATCAACCATCAACAGTAAAAGAACAAGCAGTTAAGAAATATGCCTCAGACTAGCATTTGGTAGAACAGCCATGAAGGCCTTGGGAAAGATATTCAAATGCTGTGATGTGTCTATACCTACAAAGTCCAGAATCATGCAACCCATGGTGTTCCCTGTGACAATCTATGGAAGCAAAAGTTGAACTTTGAAGAAACAGGATAGGAAGAGTATTGATGTTTTTGATCTCTGGCATTGGAGAGGACTCCTGAGAATACCATGAACAGCCAAGAAAAGAAATACATCATCAAACAAATTAACCCAGAGTTCTCACTCAAGGCACGTATGGCCAGGCTCAAATTATCCTACTTCAGACACATTGTGCAAAGACCCAGCTCTCTGGAGAAGGCTCTGATGCTGGGAAAAGTGGAAGGAAAGAAAAGAGGACAACTAGCAGCAAGGAGGATAGTTACAGTGGCTATGAGTGCACCATTGGAAGTCCGAAAGGTCAAGTTAGGGACAGGTCATCATGGAAAAAATGTATGTGGTCACTAAGAATCGACAGTGACTTAATGGTACATAATCAAATCAATCAAGTGTCCAGAAAGTCACAAGTTGGTAGTTACTGTATAGCAAGCACAGGCTGACCTTTAGGCACTAACTTTATGAGAGACTGTCATTTTCATGTGCTTATGGCTTATTTGCTTTTCATCTGTAGTTACTGATCACACATGCACTCTGATGAAAATAAATAAAATTCAAAAATTATTTATTTCTGTAGTGCTTCTTATGTCAAGACATTTTACTTTACTATATAGACATATCTTTTCTCATCAACAAAGCTCATTAGCTGTCTTACGTTCTTTATCAGTGGTTCTCAACCAATTTATACATAACAAAGGAAGGACTCTGATGTTTTAGAGGTGAGATGCAGCATAACTCACTGAACTTTTGAGTCTACATCTTACCATAAGTAACAAAATTGGAACAATAGTTATAAACATGTTCTTTTCAGAAATAGTGAATGTTTAGTTTTTACCATAGTGAAGCTTCCATTCTTTGATTGATTGATTGATTGGATTGATTGATTGATTGATTGATGGGACTTAGATGGAAAAAGATGAAAACCATTGTTTTCATAACTATGAACTTCAATATATTCTAGCTGAATTTCAATATATTCTAGTTGAACAAACATTAAGAGGCCATTTTTCGGATTACATGGCAGTGATAAGGGTGGTGAAATGGGGTTACTTCTCCACCCTTATTGTGTCTACTGACAACCATCTGGTGGCCCTCTGTAGGGTGATCTATTTCTTGCTGGGGAAGGATGAGTCACAGGAACATCTACAGGGCCACTGTGAAGAATATTTAAGCTATCTGGCAGATAAAGTTGTTCAGATCCAGAGTTGGACTTCAACTGGGCAGGTTCAGTTGAGGTATCTGGGCTCCCTCTTGTGGGTTTATCTGGAGTGAATTCAAGCCTGTGACTCCTGAAGAAGTGGATAGTGACCTTCAAACTATGAGTTCTACTATCTGCTAGATCCAGATCCCTCCTGGATTGTTAAGACTGCCTGGGAAGTGACATGTGACCTGCAATGATGTCAGCTTCTTTGAGAGTATGGTTCCTTTCACCTTGAAGGAAGCATTGGTGCATCCCTTCCTCAAGAATCCATCACTGACAATTCTGGATAATTTCTGTCCAGTCCCCAGTCTTCTCTTTTTAGAGACGGGTGTTGGGCAACAACTCCAGTGAATCCTAGAGGAAACAGATCTGGACCTGTTTCAATCAGGTTTCACATCAGGGTACAGTACAGAGACAGCATTGGTTGCACTTATCAGTGACCTTTGGCAGATGGGGATGGTGTGTGCATCCTAGTACTCCTTGATCTCTTGGTGGCTTTTGATACAGTCAATCATGGTGTCCTTCTGAATTGCCTGTGGGGATTGGGAGAAGGGGGCATCATATATAGGTAGTTTCCAGTCAGTGTTGACAGAGGGAAAAGGAAGAGGTCTAACCTGCAGCCCCTCATTTCTGGAGTGGTACAGGGCTCAACAATCTCACCCCTTCTGCTTAACACCTTCATAAAACTGCTGGGTCATCAGTATGCTGATTTTACATCTCCAATCGAGGCCATCCAAGTGATGTTGTTGATGTCCTGTTGCAGCATCTAGAGGCCATACTGCTTTGGGTGAGGAAGATCAGACTGAGGCTCAATCCTGACAAGACTGGCTGTGGATATTTGGGACTCCTGGTCCTGGGGATTCTCTATTTTTAGTCTTGGATGGAGCAGCACTTCCCCATTTGAGACTGATGCAAAATGTGGGGTTTGTCTTGGATTCACAGCTTCTGCTCAAAGAGGTGGCAGGTATGGCCGAATTTCACACAGGTTCATCTAGTGTGCTAGTTGCATCCATCCCTAGATTGGGAGGCCCTTCAGACACTCATGCCCTAGTCACCTCTCAAATGGACTGCGCCAATGTGCTCTGCGTGGAGCTGCCCTTGAAGACCATTGCTACAGCTAGCCCAGAATGTGGTAGTGCAGGTAGTAATGGGCGTGCCTCGTTATGTCTACGTTACAACATTGCTCTGTGAGCTGCACTGGTTACCAGTTTCTGAGTACAATTCAAGATGCTGGTTACCACTTATAAAGCCCTTCATGACATAAGACCTAGTGATTTGAGGGACCATCTATTTCTAGTAGTTTCTGCCCATCTGACAAAATCAGGCAGAGTGGGTGTGCTTCAGGTAAATACAGTGGTACCTCTAGTTACGAACTTAATCCG